CAATCCAATTAAGGTGCACTTCCAAATTTTACCGTAATATGTAATTTTGGCGTAAAAAATTCTTCGGATTATCTTAAAATCGATTTTAATCTCTAATTATAAACTTTTAAACTCCAAAAATGACTAATTTATAAACATATGAAAGTCTTGAAAGATGCACGAAGATACACTATTTTTGAGACTTAAAACTCTTTTTCTTTTTTCATATTCATGCATCTCAATGTCGAGATGATCAATTAGAGGGTGTTTTTCAACTTAAAACAACCTCATCCCGGGGATTTTTGAGGTGCATCTTTAATTCTACATTTTAAAGTTGCAACCTTATATAAACTTTTTTCATATATATATATATATATACAACAAAAAAAGACAGAGCTTTCTTGAGAAAAAAAGGTACCAACTTGAGATGAAGAGAGAGGAAAACTTGGATAAGTTTGTGTGGAAATATAAAAACCTATACTTATTTTTGGGAACAATATTTTCTTTTATTTTATGTGTACCTATATTAGAAATATGATTCATTACATATGTTAATTCTATAAATTAATACTCTTGTTCACATGATAAGCACTATAATACATTTCCATGGGGGGTTAAAATCCAATTATACAGAATTACAATTTCTAACAGTTTGGAGTAGGGTTTTAAAACTCTTTGATCTGCGAACTAGACTACTTCTTTGTGTAATGAGTTTTTCATTGTGAAAACTTACTATAATTATAATAAAGGATTATCTACAAAGACACCATTTGTCTTTTTTGTAGAATAGTGATACCGATTTTCAAAAGCAAGTTATCTATTTAGACTACTTAGCCGTCTTCGATATTTGTTGGTAGCCAACACCTTTGGTACCTAATTCCTCAGACTATTAGTGGGTTGTTCATGGCGAAGCTTAAATAGGAAAGCACATTTACGGAAAAAAAAAAAAGAAAAGAAAAAAACACATTTACTTATAGTCGGCCCCTTAGAAAAAAGAACGAGAAAAAAAATAAAATTGATCCAAGGTTTTAGTAGCCTTAGCCTAGTCATGGGGTCTTGAGTTAGGCTTAAAAACGTGATCCAAGATTGTTTAGAGCCTCGGCTCTATATAAATTATTATTATTATTGTATTTAACTGATATATATTTTTTTTGACAATATTCAAAAAAATTCCTTAATATAACTCAAGATTACAACCATCTAATCATAATACAGACCTTACATTCGGACACCACCAAAAAAAATAGAATAAATCACCCTTTTTGGCAAAAGCATCAAACATTTCGTTTGCTTCCCTGTAGAAGAGACTCTCACCATATTAGCCAAGTCGATGATTTGCAACCAGCAATGTCGCAATTGCCATGACACCTGCTGCTTCTTATTTGCAGCCAGCATCAACCATTTCGTTGGCTGATCGGGATTGCCGATGCAGGCTGATACAGTGTGAGCGATCCAAAAGTCGGTTCTGAAATTTGGGACCCGCAAGATGGGATCAATTTGGTCTAAGGTTAATTCACCGTAGCATCAATCGGTGAGGGAGTGGGCCTCACCAGGCATGTGACTGATACATCTGCAAGGCCCGGTCCCTCCTTGTAGTCCAAACCATTGACAGATGACCAAGGTAATAATGCATATGATTGTATTGTTATCACGGCTCTGAGTCCTACCTAATTATCAAAGAGAACAAGCATGTTGGTCGTGTTTGGGTTTGGTTATAAGCCTCCAAGTTAGGCCCTTGGGTTGGGCTTGGGCCAGCCTGAATATTACTTAGAACCTGGTAGCCTATATACAAATAGGGCTGGCATGGGCCGGGCCAAAAATTACATTGTAGGGCGGCAATTTTTATTGTTTCATAATTTCGTGTAGATAATACTGCCCCATGACATTTTTTTATTTAAAATTACTAGGCGTAGGCCCTAACACACTACGTACCTTTTTTAAGATAACGTTAAATGAGTCAAAATTCTTTACATTTTGAATCTTATACATAGGGTGTGGGAGGGTCTCATAGGATCATAACTCATAATATTTTAATATATATTTTTTATATTTTTTTATTTTTTTTAACAATTTTTTGATGCCCCGAGACTTGTTCGGTTAGAACGGTTTAATCGGTCGATTTATCGATTAGGCCGGTTAAACCACTTCCGAACCTATCCAGTTAATCGTTCCGATTCGATTTTGCGAATACCGTTATAAGGTATCAATCTTATACTATTGAAGTGAGGTGTGCCTCAAAACTATGTTGAAAATGTAGTTAGGGTGCCCCAAAGCCTTGGGCCGATATGAAAATTTATAATTGCTCCCAATTATGAAATTTAAAGTTTAAGATACGGTGACCATCAAATAGAATTATAAACACCAAAAAATCGTGAAAATAAAAGATCCAAAAATTATGTTAGAAAATGAACTATTTTTAGGATTTTAAACCTGCTTTTTTTATTATTTTTTATTTTTTTAAAGGTCCAAATGATAGATTTGAGGGTTTTCCGGTATAAAAACAATATTTGTTTGGTGCACCTCGCCAGTACAGCACAAAGAACGAGGTTTTCTATTAAAAAAACGAAAAAAAACAGGTCAAGATTCCTTAATGCTGAGTTCAAAGATTTCATCAAATCCATTCATGATGTTGGGAACTCCAAGTTAATTACGGGAAAGGACAGTGTCTGACAGAATCTCAAGGCACAAAGAAACTCAACAAAAAATGCTTCCTTTCTTCCTCTTTAAGAAGCCGTCGATTGTTTTAAATTACTTATTGTCGCCGCTTTCTTCACGAAGTAACACAGGTAAGAGAGATTTTTTTTTAGGATTGAGAGAATCACCCATTGATATTTTAAGAGAGAAAGAGTGTGTTTTTCTGTGCTTCTTATTCAGAGCCACCAAATCTTTTTAGAGAGAGAAAGTACCATTGTCTTACGATGGAGAAACATGAGCTGTTAGGTGTGTTTATACTTCATGGTTGTAGATTTGAGGATTTTCTTTGCAGTGAAGAAGGTGGGAAAAATGGAGGGGAATGCGATCACTAAGATTCTCTTTTGTAGTTCTCATTTCCCTTCTGCTCATGAATACACAAGGGAATGTTTGCAGAAATACCCATTTATTCAGGTATCCTATCTCCATGGTTTCATCATCTAGTTTTGTTTTTCCAATTTTTTTTTTTGAAAATAAGATATGGGTATTTTTATTGGTTGGTAGGTTATGTTTACTGGTTAACTGAGGTGTAATTGGGCATTTCATTGACAGTCTTAGACTATTATTTTTTTTCTCTTTTTTTTTCCATGCCTAGTTTTTACTTCTGATGGTTGTTTAGAACTAGACATCCAACAATATTTTCATAATGCATATGCTTGAGTTAATACGATCTGTAGGTGTAAGAAATTCTCCTTGGCTATTGATGTGGATGTGTTGCCTTTAATGGATTGTATGTTTATTTTATCCTTTTTTTTTGATAGAGTAGTGAAAAGGTTGGGACCTATTGGATGGGGAAGTCTTGGTGCAAATTAGGTGTATCGAGGGGGGTGTCTACATTAGGTCTTGTTTATTATCTTGAATTCCATTAAGGGTTTGCTTGCGAGCATTTCGATATTATTTATATTTGTTTAAGAAGTCGCATATGCTTTAAATTTGGTTGTGGTTGAGTGCAAATATATTAGTAAAAATCATGCATTTCCGTTCTCTCTTTTGGGATGGAAATAATTTTCCCCTTGCAAGTTTGCATATTCTAATTGGTGTCTTAGAAGAAAACTGTGTGCTCATCTACTTGTGAAATAATTTAGTGAGGAGAAATTTTTTGAGATTATTTGCCTTATGGGACTTTAGATTCTCTATGGAAAGTGGTGGAAATGTTATTGATCTCTCAGTTTGTGGAACTTTGTTAGTCTGTTAGCTTAGCAAGAATATAATATAGAGATTCTTTGTCATGTGCCTATTGTGAATTTTCTTGGATAATGGTCAATGGCAAATGATCAGTAGTTTGATTGGAGATTCAACCACTAGCTATAAGTAATCTCTCTTCTAAATTAAACTATAGGTTTGTGATGGTTATTGAACTGCAATTCAGTTGTATCAAATTTTCTTTGATGATCTTTTCTGTCGATTCTAACAGGTTGATGATGTAGATATTGATGATGTGCCTAATGTTATTGGGGATTACCATATTTGCATACCCAGAATGATGCGCCTGGATTCTGAAGTTATTTCTCGTGCCAAACAGATGAAGCTTATCATGCAATATGGCGTTGGACTTGAAGGTTGTGCTTATATTATGAGTCTTACCATTCAGTTTATGATATACATATAAAGAAAATAATTTATATTGGGTTGGACATTCATGCTCATATGTAGTCCTTGGCATCAAATTTGTTACTTCTTGAAAAAGAGAATTCCTGTGGAGCCAAATAATTTTATAGGTCTTCCTCACCTCATTTCATGAGTCTTTCAGGATTTGTATACTTTTTAAAACTGAACCCACTTTTGTTAGTAGGTAGACAAAAGATTTAGTAAACAGAAGGTAATCTTTATAATAAATATTATTTTATATTTTTAAATGCAGTGGTTTTGTTTTTAAAAGTTGTTTTGTAGTTAGTTCTGTGACATTAGTTTCAGTGAAGTAAAGTTTTTTCGGCTTTTCTAATGCAGGTGTGGACATTGATGCTGCTACCATGGCTGGAATTAGAGTAGCAAGGATTCCTAGCAATATGACGGGAAATTCATTCTCATGTGCGGAGCATGCTATATATTTGGTATTAGGGCTTCTGCGTAAGCAAGTACGCATACACAAATTCTATGAATGGCTGAATGTTTTAGCTATTGAGTACAATAAATTGATTAACTATGATATGCTTAGAAGGCGATCGACTAAATGTCTGCATTTATCTGACTTCAGCTGGTTTCTTTGGTTGCATTTCTCATGAAACTCGGTGTGGCCTTCTACTTGCACTGTTATATATCAAAACAAAACCAATAAGGCTTTTTGTACCATAGTACTTGATACCCTACTCCCTCTCTCTTTCTCTCTCTCTGTGTCTCTCTCTCTCTGAATTCTTGAATGCAAATACACATACATATTAAAGTAAAAAGTTATCTGTATTCATTGCTCATAAAAGAAGTGGTGTTTCCATACTATACCTACTTTAGCATGTACTCTAGCATGCACAAACACATCTAATTGTAAGCAATGGGTATTGGATGTTTGAAACTTAGTATCTCACATGATGCTTTCGATTTTGTGGATGATTGATTTTGTTCAGTGGATTGTTCATTCTCCCATGATGATCTGTCATTTTATTCTATCACCAATAAATTTTTATTCATTTCAACAGAAGGAAATGGAAATTGCTGTACAAGAAAGAAAATTGGGTTGGCCTGCTGGAGAAACTCTTTTTGGAAAAACGGTATGTTTGCTCATGTCACACTAATACATGTGTAACTAACTTTGCCCCTCTTTTTTTGTCTTATTTGTCCATTATTGACATTAACACAAGTTGGGGTTTCAGATGCCAAATGAAGTTAAAAGATGTTTCAGAGCATTGGATGGATTCATGTAGTGGACCAAGCTCAGGGGGATAGTCTATTTCACTTAATTCAATGTTATTTAGCTGAATAAGATGCTGTGAATAGCAATCGATTTTAATTGCATTATCTCTCCAAGATAAGCAATAAATGCACATCACTTCAAACAAAGAAGTACATCAACTTGGGATTGGTATTGGTAAGCCCTATAAATATGCTTCATTCTCAAATTATAAAAATCTATCACCAAAATTGGCTGTATCACCCAAGACGTTTGTCCTATCATAGTTGTGGGAATTGAGTTTGAGGTGCATGCATTACTGCCTTTGGCATAATATATTTCTAATATGTAAGGTAAGTTTTGATAAGGAGAAAAAATGGAAGAAGTTAAAATTAGAGAAAGGTAGGGAGTACATTGTGGCAAAGTAGGAAAATGCAAGATCGGATCGAGGCATACATGAAAATTCCTAAAATTTAGTAATGATTTCAAGAATGAAGTATCAAAATTTGGAATTCGTTTTAATTATTGCTCATCACGAATTTGCTAAAGATCTGAGACACTTGGAATTCATTTTAAAATTCAAGATTGAAATATCATAGTATTTCATATGTATTATCTTTAGAATTCCATATTGAAATATCATAAAAGTCTTGATATATTGTCTGTGATAATTGATTTTTCTTTTTTGCTTAAAATAATCATATTTAAGCTATAAATTTCAAACTAACGAATTTCTTTGATGCAGGTCTTTATTCTTGGATATGGGAACATTGGAGTTGATCTTGCTGCTCGTTTGAAGCCCTTTGGGGTAAAAATTCTTGCTACCAAAAGGAGTTGGAGCTCAGTGTCTCAAGATTCTAGGACCCATGATGGTATGGGATAGTGATAGTGACGATGTATTCTAATCCAATTGACTATGATACACTCATATTCCATTTGTTTCATCACTTTCCAACAAAGTGATGCACAACGATCATGTGGGACCAACTAGAAATGTGCAAGATCTCATGGTGGGTCCCACTCTTTCTATACCAGTGTCCATCATTTCATTGAATGGTGATCATCACAATTGACTATGGTGTTCCTTAGTCATCAGATTATAATATAATTCCCCATGGGGATAATGTCCATCAGCTCTATTCTCTTCATGAATCAATAGGTTGAGGTAATAAATTTGCAGGTCTGGATAGGAATGGAAAGTTCAACAATGGTGTTGTTGGTAAGAAAGGTGACATGGGCAGCATCTATGATTTTGCCGGAGAAGCAGATATTGTTTTTGCGTGCATAAATTTGAACAAGGATACGGTCTCTCTCTCATGTCGTCTTTTTTTTGTTTTTGTGCTTTGATCAATAACTTTGTCGCTTCCTCATCTTCTTCTACGTTTAATCCCACTCAAATGTTATAAAATCAAGGGAAATTATTTTACATTCCAGTGAACTATGGAAAACCATAATCCTATGGCACCATCCAATGAAACTATGGATGGTCTTGGAGGAGTGCTCATGTCCTGTTCTGTTAGGTCCCATCATCTCTCTATCGGTATTCCTCCAATTCACTGGACTGTGATGAATGCAATGGACGATGATCATATCATAGTTCATTGGAGCATTAAATACTACCCCTAGAATCAATTCCACTTTGACTAAGTATTTTAGCTTTGTGCTTGTTCCTATGTATTTTGATGTAGCCTCTGGGATACCTTATTTGCAGGCTGGAATTGTGAACCACAAGTTCCTCACCTCTATGAGAAAGGTTAGTGCTCTTCTTGTGGAAAGTTCCTGAATATCTATCTAGGCATGGCATACTATGCCACTGGTGTTTGGGCTACATGTTGCAAGGCGTCAGTGAGTTGGTAAAGACATCCAGAGTAATGATTTCAATGACATTGATGGAGAGGGGGAGACTGAGAGAAAAGGTGGTAAATTTAAGTGAAGATAAGAATCTCTTCAGGGTGTAGAAAGAGAAAAAAGGGGGGAAGGGGGGAAAGAGGTGGGGGGGTGGGTGTGGGGTTGGGTGGTGAGAAAGTAGGATCTGTAGCGCACATGCGAAGCACATTTCTTTGCCAGTCTAATATTAACAATTGCACATTTCTTTGCCAGTCTAAGATTAACAATTGATATTTGGTTTTTAGGGGGCACTACTGGTAAATGTGGCTCGAGGAGGTGTCTTGGACTATCAAGCTGTTAAATATCACCTAGAATCTGGCCATCTTGGAGGCTTGGCAATCGATGTTGCATGGACTGAGCCATTTGATCCTGAGGATCCAATTTTGAAGTTTCCAAATGTTCTCATCACACCTCACATTGCTGGGGTAACAGAATATTCCTACAGGAAAATGGCCAAGGTAAAAGCTTCTTATATTTCAATTATATGTAAATGACTGCCCTGGGAAATATCATATAATCCAATGAACTCTGAAAATCCATAGTCTCATTGGGTCATCATCATCCAATCAAACAATGGATGGTGATAGAGAGTGGGACTCCCGGAAGAAGGGATGAACCCAATTTCAGGTTCCGCCCTCTATCCATCACTGTCCACTGTGGGCCTGATTGACTATGGTTTTGCAAATCCATCAGAGTATGGTATACTTGACCTTACACTGTCTTAAGAACCAGCGAACAAACCTGGCTTGGAACCTATGGGCTACTGTTCCCAGTCCCTAAACCGCCTGTTTGCCTGTTTCCCACTGGTTCTCATGAGTTTTCACCTTGTTTTTGAATTTTCCTGTAGAAATAAAAGGGATAGGCGAGCTGGCTTGGGCAGTTCCTACCCGGCTTGGACCAGTGTGTGATTGGTTCAACCCACTGATCTGTTTTTAAAACAAATGTTTGCCTATTGTGTACATCCTTGTATGTTCTTTATTTCACTTTTAGCATTTGTTTATTTATAATTTTGAGCTGTTTTGAATGACATTCATCCCATATGGTTAACTCTCAATATAGTAATTGTTATCAATATTGCTCTAATTGAAATGGTGTCATTGAAGTTATGCTTCAACTTTATCTTTTTGAGTAGTTACCCATCATTGGGCTGGGTTCTGCCTTTCTTGAATCCTCCATTCCTTGCTTCCTGTTTTCCGAATCTCTATTGCTTTCTTTTTCTCTCTATTAGTGAAGGGCACATGCTCTGCAGGCGTCTGAAACATAGCAGTTGAGAATGGCCTAGGGCGTTGGCGGTAGTATTGCCAGGCCCCGTGGTGACTCCATTCTCACCAAAAGGTAGGGGCCCAAATCCCCACTAACTTACCACTTTTACTAACCAAAAAGAAAAACATTTTATTGTGGGAAGTATATTAATATGCATTTACTTGTTAATCTCTATGTAAAAAATGTTCGAGATATGACAAATAAAGAAAGAAACATAGCAATGGAGATTTGAATAATTTGATATAAAAAGAGAATAAGCATATTGGTTTACGACACTATATAACTTTGATGACACTAAATCACCTTTTTTCAAAAAATTGTGTGGTCTCTATTCAATAAATAGTATAAATAGTCATTTTTTAAAATAAGTTAAGATCAATTAAATAAGCAAGAATAGATACAATTCAATTTTTGGGTGGTTAGGTCTGTTGGGTGAGTGTGGCCATTAAAAGCCTTATGAGTGCTTGTAAAATGAAATGATATAGTAGAGCATTAACTCAGTTGGAGAATAGTCCCTCGTGGACCATACTAAGCAAATGATGTTTGCTGATACCGGACTGTACTTGACGGTCTAGGCCAATCGGTTGGAAAAAACTCATGTTACCTGGGCATAGAGTATAAACCAATAAGGGTTCTAATGGGTCACCCCTTGATGAAGTCGAAGTATGCCCACATGAGTGAGCCAAAGGAGTGTGTGACCCTTGTGTGTGATGGTGGCCTTCAGAGACGGGGGTCAAAGCCTCATCCATGTACCATTACTCAGCATGCATATTGATAGACCGTTTCGTGAAAGTAAACCACCTTTTAGGGTGAAGCGTATGTATGTGCGAGAGATACCCTTATGGTCCATAGGAGCTATGATCGCATAAGGCTAGGTGACCTTGGCCCATCTCTAGGGGAGAATATGAAATCCACAGATTGGGATTGCGACCCCTTGGCTCATCGGTCAGACGTTGGTGAACCACTAATGAGCCCCTGCATGGACTATAGGTTATGGAAAATACTTGGTCGGTTTGATAAAGCAAGTGTGGTCCGTAGTCCACATTTGAAGGTGGAGTGCCCTAGATTATTTATTCCTAGACCATATGGATCCTTATCCCATCTAATGAATTTAATTGTGTTTATTTTATGATGATATGATTTTAGAATTATTATTTGAATTTTTCTAGATCTCTGGATATTTTATTTATAAAATTTAGATTTATAAAAATGGAGATATTGATTTTTAAAATTTTAAATATTCAAGTTAATTCTAAAATCATTTATGGATTTTTAAATATTTAAAAATAGGATTGGAGGCTATTGTGCATATGGGCCCACTATGCCCTAAATTGGTGGGAGCAACAAAAGCCACCACATGAGTGGCACGCCCCAATTTTTGGGGCTTATTATTCCCATGGGGTGGATCTTTTATGGGATAAGTCGTTAAATAAGATTTGAGTGAATCTTTTAAAAAAGGCTTGATAAGCTTGTGCATATTTTTGGATAAAACATTAGTATTATTTTATTTGATTTATATTGATGGGATAATGGTCAAAGGATAGAGGGGGATAAAGGTTCTAGTTCCTTCTAAAATGTTGATGATTCATCTATGGAATGGATTGCTTAAATCTCTCATTTCACAAGTCACCCAAGATCAGTGATTCATATTCAATCTCACAAAAAGATGCAAGACAAGGAAAACCCTAAGAAACCTTAATATTGTTTAAAGGCTATAAAAAAAGATTGTCTCTACCCCAAATCTCTACACCTTATCTTTCTATTTCTCTTCTAAGAAAGCTTCTCTCTCTCATAAAAGCCCAAAGGGGGGCGCGCCCCACTCTCTCATCTTTGATCTCTCTTTTACCCATATTGTAAAAAGGGGCTAAGGGTTTAGGCTATGGGGTTCTTCTCTCTCCCATCTCTCAACTATGGATTTATGGTTAAGGCTCCCACATTGTAAAAAGAGGTTAAGGCTATGGGTTTAGGCTACGAGGTTCTTCTCTCTCCCATCTTTCAACTATGGATTTATGATTAAGGGTTTTAGGGTATAGCAAAAAGAGAATCCATCTCTCTCAAATTAGGTTGCTAAGGGAATTCACTTAGGGTTTGAGTTTGTGATCAAAGGGGTTCATGTTCTATTGGTGTGGTTTGGTCGAAACTTGCTTTCCCGGTTGAGATTGAAGGTTGATCATTGATCCCGCGCCGTCGGATGGTGGTGATTCGGTGTGGAGTGTAATAAGTCCGGTTGAGGTAATTTTCGGCACTCTCTTTTGTTTCTTGTCATATTTAATTATATTGCCTTTATAATCCCAAGCATAAGAATTGTGGATATTTTGTTTGATTAAAAGAAAATTGGTTTAGTGGCATCAAGGTTTTTAAGATCTTGGATTTGTTATTTTTATTTTTTTTGAAGCAAGAGTTATTGTAGCAAGACTACTTGTAAGTGATTTTTGCCAAAATAAAAAAAACGAAAAAAAAAGAAGGTGAAAATAAAAAAAATATATTCCCTGACAAGATCGTATTAGTTTTTCTTTCAAGGTTCGAGTGTTAAAGAACATAAAGTCATGTACAAAATAATCATTAGTTGATTCTTCTATGTTGCCACAATTTTAGATCCAAAACATCTTCAGAAGTGGCTTTTTCACTTAGAGGGAGCAAATGGACTTTGTACGCCTATGGGAGCATAGTATACACATTGGTATATAATATAATATTAGATTGAGGTGAAAAACAGTATAAATTGCGCTGTGCACTTACCCCTGGATATTTGATCCACTGAGGAATATCTTATGGGTCTAAATTTTATAGATGCACTTTAAATGACCAAAGGAGTACTTTTTGATAAAAATTGGATTTTTGATTTTTCAAACACCTATATTTGACCACCGTTTTTTGTTGTTGTTGAAATAATCATTTGGTGATTCTTATTTTCACAGGTTCAAATGTTAAACCTATGTAGGATTACCCGGACCCGATTGGACACGACTCAAACAAAAAAAAAAATATAATGAAAAAATTATTCTAAATTCAATATTAAAATATATACATGTATTATAACTAAAATATATAGTTATATTTATTTAAATATTATTTAAATAATAACTCGAATCAGGTTGGGTCCACATAGACTGGGACTTGGACACCACCTGCCGGGTCCAATTTTTGGACCCATACTCGGACCCAGGCAGGTCTAGGTCCATTGCCACCCCTAACCTTTTGTATCTAAATTTTGGGATGCACCTAAAAATAACCAAACGGGTGTTTCTTGGAGAAATTAGATTATGAGTTTCAAAACAATTAGATTTAACCGCCTCAAGAAGATTTTACTTCCAAAGATCTTCTTAAGTAGTGATTTGAGTTATTCCATCTAAAAGGACAAGTGGACTTTGAGAGAGAAAAAAAATAGCAATCCATGCTCCTATGGATTCACATGTAGTCTTGCCCTCTTCGATAAAGCAACCATTTAGGAGACTATAATTTATATTTAGTTTTTCTTGTTGATTAGTAATATTGCTTTATTTTTAAAATTATTCAAAATAAATTTTAGATTTCCAAAAATTTAATTTTCTATATAAAGAAATTAGCAAGATATTGAGATTCAAATATAACTTCTAGATTCATTTTACATCCCTAAAATTGAGATTCTTAAAGAATACCTTAATTTGATTTTTACTTGAGAGCGCATGAGCATATTGTGATTTTTTTTATTTTTATTTTTTTTTGTGTTAGATTGGTTCATGATTTATTATTATCATCATCTTATTCAATGCAATATAATATAAGATTATATAATACAATATAATATTATATATGTTTATAATATAGGGAAAATATCTTCATATCCCTTATTTTTGAATTTTATTTTTTAATAAACCCAAGATTTCAAAAAATATCTTCCAACCTCTGGCCTCTTTAAACCTATTTTTTAACCTAAACAAATGTGAGAAAGACATGCTCTTTCTAAACCCAATCCTTTCTCTCTCTTCATTTATAGACTCAAACTTCTCTCTTTCTCTCTCTTGCTGCGTGTTTCACTTTCTCTCTCCTCCCGTGTTTATTCAAACACCTCTCTCTCCTCAAAACACCTCTCTCTCTTTCCGTGTTTATCCAAACACCTCTCTTTTTCCTCCGGTAACATCTCACCACCAAGCATCTCTCTTTTCCTATGTTTATCCAAGCATCTCTCTCTCCCTGTCTTTATCCAAACACATCTCTTTCTCTCTTTCTAGAAACCTTTCACCATCAAATACCTCTCTCTTCATGCGTTTATCTAAACACCTCTCTTTCTCTTCGTGTACTTACTGTGTATTTGGGAGGAGAGAGAGTGAGGGGAGAGATGGGAAGCGTGAAGAGAGAGCAGGAGGAGAGAGAGAGGGGAGAGATGGAAAACGTGAAGAGAGAGCGGGAGGAGAGAGAGTGAAGGGTTAGAGATATGAAAGATGGAGAGAGAGAAGGGGTGCGGGGAGAGAAAGAGAGAATTTTGAGATGATAGCTTTTAAAAAATACATGTCTTTTTAAATTTGTTTGGCCTAAAAAAACAGTTTTAAAGTAGCTCAGGGGTTAGAAAAAATAAATCTACAATTTTTATTCTCGAAAATATCTTTTAAAACCTTGGATCTATTGTGAAATGAAACGTAAAAATATTTATATTTTTTCTTTTATATAGTAACATAATATAATATTGTATAATATAATTTGTTTAATAGACCATATAGTAGTATAATAAATTTTTTCTTTTAAAATATTTTCAAAAACTCTTCTTAAGAAATTTTTTGAAAATTTTCATTATGTGAATAAAATATGGTAGACCATGTTAGAAAAAACACATTCAGGTAGACCTTGAGGTGTGTATTATGGTTTTAGTCCTTCACATCATATACCATAAAGAAAGACCCGTGAACAAAAAAAATTTCTTTTTAAATTAATAAAATTTCAATTTTATTTATATCTTAAAGAAATTTTAAATATATATTTACTTGTAAATACATAATCCAGCAGAACTACCACAAAAGAGCTTGTATAAAGATCATTTAACCAGATAAGTCTCGAGCCTAATGCTGAGCCTCCAAAGAGCGTGGGTTTCCAATTGA